AACCAAGGTAGAGAAATATGAGGTACAAACTCTTTCATGATAACTTAAAAGAGATGTGTATCCCAAAAGACCACGTATTAGAGACATGATGAACATGCTTTGCCTAAAATCTCACCGGTTGACCCACATCCTAAATAGATATTAGTTTCATAATAAATGCTTTTCATTAATCATATTGTCATTATAACATCGTATTTGGCATCCATAAGGTTGTCTCACCGATGAAGAACATCAGAGAAGGATGATGGCTTACCAACCAATGAATGTTTCAAACTTGTGTTATGATCTTGATTAAATAAGATGTCAAGTGTTCATCAACTACCACTAATATTTCTTAGGAAACATATTACTGAGGAAGGGTAGATGCATGTCACAAGCTTCATCGTCGGCAAGCACACTTTTCTCTCTCTCTCTCTCTCTCTCTCTCTCTCTCTTTCTCTCTCTGTGAATGGTGATTGTTTGTAGCAATTAGTGCTTGTTTGGTGGCAATTAAGGTTGCAACAAATTTATGATTACCATCCGCGACTTAGAATTCAACATATAACACTCATACTTCATCTCGATTAATCTTTTCTTTTTGTTTCTATAAATGATAAACGGTGAAAATGTGATTCGAGCTCAGTTCTCTACTCATCGGTCACTCCATGGAATTCAACGGCAGCTGCACCAACCATTCTGTAGTGTCGTGAGTCTCCTCCGCTGCCAACACAACTAATGGTTGATGGATTCACTCATCCAATAAGACTACAGCTAATCCTCTTCAAAGCAGGCATGGCGAATCTATAATTTGGATTCATCATCTCTCTCATTGTTGATCTACCGTGTCGGAGAATAATCTTAGAGCCACACCTGACGTTATTACGTTTGACTTGCCATCACTCTGTGCAACCACAGCTTGACCGTTAGATGCGCCACGTTCCACCTACCGTACCGTCCATTCTTCCCCCAGTGGTTGCACGCAAGCAGGTAGGCTGACTTCGTATATACATGTCCGAGCGACGCAGGCGAAGACGACACTCATCTCAGAGAGAGAGAGAGAGAGAGATGAAGGGGCCGGTGGTGGTGACTGGGGCCTCGGGATACATCGGGACATGGCTGGTGATGAAGCTTCTGCAGAAGGGGTACGTGGTCAGGGCCACCGTGCGAGACCCCAGTCAGTAGCTGCTCTTTTCGTCTCTTTCTTCTCTCTCTTGTGCGTTTTGTTCGAGCTTCGTTTGATCCATGTCGGAGTTGGGGAAGATCTAACGTCGTTGCATGCAGCGAACCAGAAGAAGATCAAGCCGCTGGTGGAGCTGCCGGGATCGGTTGAGCGGCTCACCATCTGGCGAGCGGACTTGGAAGAAGAAGGAAGCTTCGATGAGGCGGTCAAGGGATGCGAGGGAGTGTTCCATGTGGCCACTCCCATGGATTTCGAGTCCAAAGACCCTGAGGTAATCTCACGGTACTTTAGAATTCGAACCTTACTTAGATCACGAGCATACGATGCGTCGTCGGCGGACTCTTTTGCAGAACGAGATCATCAAGCCCACGGTCGACGGAGTGCTGAGCATCATGAGGTCCTGCAAGGAAGCCGGGACGGTCAGGCGCGTCGTCTTCACTTCCTCCGCCGGCACCGTCAACGTGCAGGAGCAGCAACAGCCCCAGTACGACGAGAGCTCCTGGAGCGACATCGACTTCTGCCGCCGCGTCAAGATGACCGGATGGGTAACCTTGCTTCCCATCTTCTTCTCTCGCCTTGCATGCGCTCCGCTTTCGGCTTCTCAAAGGGATTTCTCTTGTTTACAGATGTACTTCGTGTCCAAATCTCTGGCTGAGAAGGCAGCGTACGAGTTTGCGAGGGAGAATGGCATCGACCTCATCAGCATCATCCCGACTCTTGTCGTCGGCCCCTTCATCACCACGACCATGCCGCCCAGCATGATCACCGCGTTGTCACTCATCACAGGTTAGTGACAGCAACCTCTCTCTCTGAGACCTTTCCGCAGAGGAGAATTAGATCGAGCACGCATGCAATGCATTACAGGAAACGAAGCTCACTATTCGATCTTGAAGCAAGTTCAACTGGTTCACTTGGACGACCTGTGTGATACCCACGTCTTCCTGTACGAGCACCCCGATGCAAATGGGAGATACATCTGCTCCTCTCATGACGCCACCATATACGATCTCGCCAAGATGTTCCGAGCGCGATACCCCCAGTACAACATCCCTCAGCAGTAAGTCCTAATCTCCCATGGCCATCAAGAGAAAGCCCGATTCAGACAACAAGATCTTACGCTTGCAGGTTCGAAGGGATCGATGAAACGATCGAACGGGTGCACTTCTCCTCCAAGAAACTCACCGACCTGGGTTACAAGTTCCGGTACACGATGGAGGACATGTTCGATGCCGCCATCGAGTCGTGCTGGGAGAAGCATCTGATACCACTCCGGACAGCAGAGGAACAGTGCAGTGAGGTGGGCAAACCTCTGCCTCTGGCAACAGAGACACTGAGTGAGTTCAGTGAAGAGAAGGTCCTGATGGCTTAGGTGGAGACACTCCGAGATGCACCAGACATTGCATGATTTCTTCTCATCACAGGAACAAGTCATGTCCTGTGAAGGTTGACTAATTTGTCTTGGAGTGGCCAAAAACCAGAGATATATTTAGCTGCCTCAATTTGATTGTAATCTCTTTGATCGATCTAATAATAATATTTTTAATCGATAATAATAAATTAATTTTAATAAATAATAATCTTATATCAAGTGAAAATTTATAATAAATTAATCAAAAAAATATTTTATGATACAAATAAAATATTTTCTTAGTATTTATTGGAATAATATTTTCCTTAGCATTACCGGTTTTACCGCCATGTCAGTATCTCAACGCCTGGTGCGAAGCAGACACCTTATCCAAACAAACAACGGATGCACCTCACGATATCTTTGTCCTCTCAATCTCAGAGCCACTGTGATGATTCCTCGCCGAAAGCCAATGGCAGCATTGCTGCTTCCCCTTCCAAACATTGTCCTCCTCAGGCCACCGGCCGCGTGCACTTCATTGCTGGATAAATGTTCAGACGTGGAAGGCCTCAAGCAGATCCATGCCACCATGGTCAAGACCGGCCTCGTCCTCGACGCCGTTCCCGCCAGCCGGCTGCTGGCCGCCCTGTGCCGGTCCCCCGACGACGGCAGCCTGACCTATGCGCTTCTCTTCTTCGAACGACTCCGGTGTCGCAACACCTTCATGTGGAATACCATGATCAGAGCCTTGTCCGATAGCAATCTCCCCGAGCAAGCCGTAATCTTGTACTGCCAGATGCGTTCCGATGCCATGCCGCACAATCCTTACACCTTCCCCTTCTTGCTCAAGGCCTGTGTCGCGTTGCCGTCGGCCTTGCCGGAAACCCAACAAGTGCACAGTCATATCATCAAACATGGATTCGCCTCCGAGGTCTACACCGCCAATTCGCTTCTTCGTGTCTACGCCAAGTCCGGCTGCACCGGTTCCGCCCGCAAGCTTTTCGACAGGATGCCGTGCCGAGACGCCATCACCTGGAACTCCATGATCGATGGATATGCGAAGAGCGGAAGGCTTGAGATGGCACGCCAACTGTTCGATCTGATGGAAGAAAAGAACGTGGTGTCGTGGACGTCGATGATCACCGGGTGTGTCGAGAATTGCCTCTTTAAGGAAGCCTTGGAGCTCTTTGGCGAGATGCTAGTTACGGAGGTCGAAGCAGATGCCAGGGCGCTCACCAGTGCGCTGACAGCATGTACCCACCTTGGGGCTTTGGATCAAGGAAGATGGATACACACGTACATAAAGAAAAGGCAGATGCAATTAGATCCCGCTCTGGGATGTGTCCTCGTTGACATGTACGCCAAATGTGGCGAACTCGATGAAGCACTAAGCATCTTCGAGACGATAAGAGAGAGAAATGTGGCTGTGTGGACCGCCATGATCGCCGGTCTTGCCGTTCACGGCCTAGGAAGGGAGGCGCTCGATCTGTTTAAGGAGATGGAGGATGCGGGAGTAAAGCCCAATCATATTACCGTCACCAGTGCGCTGACGGCGTGCAGCTACGCGGGAATGGTGGAGGAGGGAGGATCTCTTTTCGAGAGAATCACAAAGGAGTACAACATGAGCCCATCCGTCGAACACTATGGGTGCATGGTTGACGTCCTCGGCAGAGCGGGGATGCTGAAGGAAGCAGAGGACTTGATCAACGCGATGCCCTTCGACCCCAACGCTGCGGTCTGGGGAGCACTGGCCAACGCCTGTCGGATTCACAGAAACTTCGAGCTAGGAAAGCACGTAGGAAAGATGCTGATCGAGCTGGAACCGGAACAGAGTGGCCGATACATACAGTTGGCCAGCATTCTCGCTGCCGAAGGTAGCTGGAAACAGTCCCTGACGACGAGGAAGCTGATGAGAGAAAGAGGAGTGCTGAAGCTTCCCGGATGCAGCTCGATCAGCGTGAAGGGACGTGTTCACGAGTTCGTCGTCGGAGACAGGTCACACCCTCAGGCCGAGAAGATACATCTGGAGTGGGAGAGAATCCTGAGAAGATTGAGGAAGGAAGGATATGTGGCGTCCACCGACCAGCTACTGCTGGACTTGGAGGAAGAAGAGAAAGAAGCTGCGGTGGGATGGCACAGCGAGAAGCTGGCTATTGCCTTCGGATTCATCAGCACCGAGCCAGGGACGACGATCCGGATAGTGAAGAATCTGAGAGTATGCGCCGACTGCCACGCCGTGTCGAAGCTCATCAGCAAAGTTTACCGACGCAAGATCGTGATGCGAGACAGGGCCAGATTCCATGTGTTCGCGGACGGCACTTGTTCCTGCAAGGATTACTGGTGACAACATCCTAGATTATTGACAAGCCTGTTCTTCTTCTACAAATGGTGGAAACAGATACTGAAAGCTTCAGATTCATCTACATCCTTGTACCTTGTCAACAGCTGCTTAGACAATACGATGGGGATTAGACATGAAATGACCGACAGATCACCGGGGAAGAGACAGGGAATGAGAAAGGAAGGCTGTTGGAGCAACAAGAAACACAGACAGATGTTCTTGATTGATGCAGGTTGTGACGGAGATCGATGCTTGATTGCCAAACAACACTGAGACAGAGGAGAAGGAAAGCAGCTCGAACCAGTAAACCAACACGTTGCAAACGACTCGTCATCTCATCTGCGTCCTCTCCGTAACGAAGAGTTGAAGGTTAGTCTTGGCTACCGCTGTGGATGAAGTGCCGACTACAGCTGCTGCTTTCTAGTAATCATGTGCTTATTGTTGTGCATCCAGACCTTGAGGACCTGTCTCCTCACTCCAATCTCCGAGCAGAATTGCTCGACCACTGCATCATCTTGCCTCTGAATCCTCCACCTCTCAGCAAAAGCCAGCATTTTCTCCTTCTGCTCCGCCGTGAATTTGGTTCGAAACCGCTTCTTTGGCATGGCCGAGGGCGTCGGCGTCCCGGTGTCTATCATTTCCTCGCTGGACGACTCTGTGGTGGTGCCTCCGTTCCCGCTGGGGTTGTTGCCACCGAAATGGACGAAGCCCGGCGACCCCGGCAGGGCCGGTGAAGGGCTCGACGAGAAGCCGCCGAGCTGGAAGTGTTTCTGGTGGTGGTGGAGTTGCGCTTGGGGATGGGGAGGCGGGAGTAACAGGGGTGGGCGAGTGGTGCCATGGTAGTAGGAATTGACGGCGTTGGCGCCACCCTCGGTCTCTCTGCGGTGGAAGCTACGGTGGCAGCCGCAGGCTGCACACTTGAGTGCCTCGGGCGTGTCAGGGTCGCCATTCGGCATGAACTCGCCGCAGCCGTCGACGACGTGGCCGCCTAAGGCGGCCGCGTGGTTGCGAAGGCATTCTTTGTACTTGGTGGGGATATCAGCTGCGGTCACGGTGGTGGTGGCGCTAGCTGCTGGTTCGGAGTTGACCGATACACCCACACCTGCTACACCCGGAGACGAATTGGAGATGGATGCTTGATCTGCGTTGTTCCCCAGAGACCCGGGACGATGATCCAAGGCAATGAGGTTGGACACAAGATTTGATGGTTTGGTGTTGCCAAGGATGTCACCATTTCTTGGTCCGCCTCCAACGCCACCACCATCGACTGCTGCTCCTCTTGGGGAGACAAGAGACGAAGAGGGGGAGAGTGTGGGTTTAGAGAAGGCCGATCTGACGCCGAGAGAAGCGTTATAACCAGAAGAGGAAGAAGGTATCCCCATCTCACCGGGATTCCTAAACTCCATCGACTCGACTCCGCACACCTATAACGCTGCTGCGCAAACCATGCAAAGGATAGATCAGCTGTTACTGCGTTCGGAAAAAGGCAAGGATGAGCGATCAGACGGTGTCAACGAGCAAGTGCAGCGCTCAAAGCAGCAGCGTCCGTAGGCTCATGAGAAGCTCTGGGCGGAATAATAGCGAGACCAAAAGAGAGCTATAGAGCGAGGGGGGAGAGAGATCGGGCGAAGGGGAGTGGGAATCAGTGGCGTGGGGTGTGGCTTCCCAACACCCGTTTTGTTTGTGGAAAGGGGAAAGCTCATCAAACCAGGGTGGGACAAAGCAGAGAAGGGTCTCCTACGTGGTGATGAGAGAGAGAGGGGAGAACGGAATGATGCAGCTGCGAAGAACCCACAGTGACATGCTTCTCCCCTGCAAACGGGTCTTCTCTCTCTCTCTCTCTCTTACAATTGTTGCTGCAAACCGGTGATGATATGTACTCCTGTAAGACTTGTAGTCGTGTACGTGTGTGTGTGTGGTATATGCGTCCTTCCTTGCCTTAGCTGTATGCGTTGAAGTTAATGTTGGTTGACTTAGTTGATATTGGGGATATCTGAATCACTTGGAGATCAAATTATTTATGCCTAAATACTATTATCTTTGGTTTGGTGAGCTATTGACAATCTTATGGACTCCTCCGTGTTAAGTTTTCGATCGTACCGATTTGATTGCACTTTTCCTTGTAAACCTAAAAAACTGGAGGAGAAGTCAAAATTCAGAAGCTCCAAAAGTCAAACGTCTCAGGTTCCTCTTTCTTACACTGATGGGCTGATTCCATCTGCCCTTAATCCATCTTCTCTTGTTGAACTTAATTTCTACTTCTCGAGCTTATTATTATAGATTTATCTACACTGATGGGCAAATTCGATTTCCTAATTATATTTTGAGTGATTCATCATTAAACATAGATCATAAATATTCTAATCGAATTGAATCGAATATCAAAATAATTTCTATTTATTCGCTTTTGGTTTATAGAATTTACGATCGGTTCTAAATTAAAAAAAAAACTAATGATTGGAGGGATATTAAATAAAATAAAATTAAAATATATAATTTTGATTTAAAATGGGAAAAACTGAGGTTAGGGTTACGCACTCCATCGCAGAGGATAGAAGTGATGAGGATATTAATGACGATAAGACTCGGGTTGACGTCAGCTGCCCTACAAGCACGCACATCAGGAAACAATAAGCTTCCCTATAAAAACCCTCGCGTTCGGCTCGAGAAGGGAAAAAAAAAAACTCTTTAAGATGATCCATTGACTTGATCGTTGGAGGGGTCGGGCCGAGCTCTCCCGACCCGACCTGTGTGCAGGCACGAAGACGGAGGCCTCCCACATAACGCCCAGGCGAGGAGTCCCCTCCTGGAGGAAACGGTGACCTTGTCACGATCGGACTATCGCAGTCGACCACTTCAGCAGTCTCAAGGGTCGTCCCAGAAAGATTCTCAATCATTCGAATACGAAGCCAACCCTCGAGGTTGTTTACAATCAATGAAAGCTTGGTTTGGAGATTTGGGACGATGATGGGCATCACAAGTACACACGACAGCATTGGCCATTGAATGAACCCCCCAGCTGTGGCATGTGCGAAAGCAGCACTTACCTACAACCCACCACCGTCCTCCCCACCACTGCCGTACGTGCCATGAAGAAGTTAACCCTAGATCCGCCGCTCCCCCATCGCGCCCCCTACGTGGAGGCGACCCGGCCCACTCTCGTCCCTTCCTTTTCGTCGAAAGCCGTGCCTCCAGACCCAACCCCAGCTTTGTCCGTTCCGGTGGTCTCGTCCGCGTGGCGCAACACGTCGGGGGCATCGACCTCCGATCGACGGCTGCGATGCGGGGAATGTGAATCGAGGCCTATTTATGCGTGCTGCTGCACTGTGGACAACATGGAGGAGGAGGAGGAAGACAGCCGAGGCTTTCTTCGATGAGTATGCTGCCACGACCATTGTGATCCAAAGAGGAAAGCTCCACGCTTTCCTTATATTCGCCTTTCGACTGTGCATGCTGGTGGTGGTAGGTTGAGTTGTTCTTGACGTGCAGTTGTATACGTACTGCATGCACGCGCAGTTTCGACGACGATCTAAATCCTTAGAGATGCTAGTGATTCGCATCAACTCTCTCTCGCTTGATGGGGGGGCAACGTGATGAGCAAGTACACACAGGGATGGCATCGAAGTCCATTGTCCTGTGTCTCAGCAGCCACTGCCGATGTACCGTCTTCTCGGTTGTTCTCAGTGAATCCCATGTGATTGCCTCGCCCTTCTTCCCTGTCCCATCGATCGTGACATGACGTGACCGGCGACATGACTGGCTTTTATAAGGAGCAATCGCTCCGGTAGGTGCTCGTCTCCCTTATAATTTACAACTTGACAGAGATATATGTACCCGACGAAGAACAACCAGCGGCTGTGACTCCTCCAAGTGTCTACCGTGCTCTTCATCCCTGCAGTTATCGATGATTTCATCTCTCTCCATCACCAGCTTACCAACCGAGTTGACGTTGGAGTACACTGAGCCTTCCCAAAGCCTCTCACGCAGCCGTACTTCATGGGCTCGGTCGGCCTGCTGCTTAACAAATGATGGGACGTGTTATATATATATAT